AAAATAAAAAAATTTTAAAAATTTAAAAATATAATTCTACTGTTCTGTGATAATTAAAAGAACAGTGGGATTCAAAAAGTGTCAAGAAGCAGAATGATATTATGAAAGAGAGTTTGGGTGGGAAGTTTATGGGTGAGAAGCCAATGGAAACAACCTGACAATATCCTTCCCATGCCAGGTTGCAATTCTGCAAGGGTAGGAGTTGTTAACACACTAATTAAATATAATTAATATGGAAAAGTCAATTCCTCCATCACTTCTCTTTTCCCTCTAACATGACAATGTAAGTCATTGCCTCTCTGACACTGACTCCCCAGGATAATGGAAAGGTGTAGGAACATAGAATGGATAATTGGAAAGAATATCTTGACAAAAACAAGAAGGAATCACCTACTCTGCAGTACATGGAATGTTCAAGTACATATACCATGCATGTTTATTATAAAGTCCTTGATAGGCCAATTTGATAGCAGTGACACTCTATATCATTTTTATACTAAGAAGTAATCGTATGCGAAGTTTATCACAGTTAGAAAGCTAGACTAGTTTTCTGGTGGCAAGAAATAGCAATATATAGTGTGTCTAAATACCAGTCATGACTTGTATAAGGCCCCAAAGTTCACACAAACAAGGAAGAGCCACCCTGATTTTGACTCACATTCCAACAACTTCTTCTCACATGGTTCGTGGTCACACCAACTTGATTCATGTTCAAGAAGTTGTCTAGTTCTTTTTTGTATGTAGCCTTTGACTGTATCTTCCTTTTGAACCAATAAAGTATCCAAACTTGTCTATTTCTAGTCTTAGAAGCTTTAGTCTTAAATGACAACTACTTTTTTTAATCCAAACATTTCATATGCCATAAAGTCTCAGAATATAAAAAATACTTTTGCTAACATTCTTCTTGATGGGGAAGAATGTTATATAGCTGGTGTCAGCAGAAGCAGCTTTTCTCTTTGGGGCTGACACTTTGTGAGCACAGCACAGCATTGGTACAGTAAACAGAGTGTTCATTGTCTGTTTTCTCTTTTGACTGGCCATATCTTCTTGAATCTGGTTGTTATAATGATTGCTTGTGACACAATAATAAGAATCAATTAGAAAATCCCCACAGTACCAGCTGCCATACTCACCCAAAGACAGTCATTTAGTTTCACACCCTTTTAAAGTAACATCTTAAAAACTATTCCCAGGATAAACACATACTTATTAAACTGACTCCAGGATATTTATTCATTTGCTCAAACTTTTTTCCAATTGCATTCATATTGTCTTTATTAAGTAGTGGCAATCATTATTAATTTATGAAGTAAAACCATAATTTTGGCCCAACTTTTATTTTGAGAAGCCTCAAAACCCTAAAGACTCTCTTGGTGAACATTCACAATCTCTTAATTCACTAGTTGTTCAAGCATTGAATACCTGCCCTTTTTCTATATTCCTAGATAACATTTTTTTTCCTACTAAATAATATTAGAGTTAGTTGTGAGTGTCACATCACTTCACTCCTGTGTATCACCATTAAAAGAAAGAATTCTGTGTAACTTCTCTATTATGATCCAGTGACCTTGGGCAAGGCAGTGTTACTGCTGTGTTACATAGGATGTTATTTGTTTGTTCCTTTTCCTGGTTTTTTTAACCATTACCTCTAACTTTCCATCTCTTTCAATGTACACTCCAGCCAAGGATCAGTTAGCAGTTGCAACAGCTTCAATCTCTGTCATTTAGAATAGATCCCAGTTTTCCTTTTCCTTTCTTTTCTTTCCTGCTTCATTTTAAACCTTTGTTTTATTCTTTGAGAATTTCATACATTTTTTTATCATATTCTTCCCTGATCCCCAACTCCTTCCAGATCCTTTCTCTCCCTATCCACCCAACTTCATGTTCTTTCTCTTTAAAAAAGAAAAGCCAGGAGCTGGAGAGATGGGTCAGTGGTTTAGAACACTGTTTGCTCTTTCAGAGTTCCAGAGGTCCTGAGTTCAATTCCAAGCAACCACAAAACCGCATGATGGCTTATAACCATCAATAGTGGGATCTTATTCCCTCTTCAGGCATAAAGTCATACACACATAAAATACTTATATACCTAAAATAAATAAGTAAGTAAATCTTAATTTTAAAGTGTTGGTCAACCACTCCTGAGCATGGAGTCTGCCCTGGAGTGTGGGGATATACCCAGTGTCACTCCATTGAAGTAAACTGATTTTTTCCTCTCCCTAGAGAAATCTAGTTGGTACTCAACTGCAAGCTTCACCTCTGCTGGCTAGCATTCATAGTGGTAGAAGGTGCTACATACACTACTGGAGAAGTAAATTAGTCATCAGTCTCATCCAGGTACAAACCCTGTGAGCTGTAATAACAACCTGCCTGCAAGATGTACTACTGGTACAATTAGTGGCATGAAAACTGTAGGAATAACCAACTACTTTTTGGTGTGATGTAAGGTCCACTCCATGAGATGAAACCTATACCTTATACTGTTAATGAGGCCAAGAACCTGACATTATATAGGTCATGGGCCCAGGGAAATCCTACTACTACTATTCTGCTAAATGAACACAGCAATAAAACAATTCCCAATGACACATTGCTATACCCATAGATCAATGTCTTGCTTAACCCACATCAGAGAATCTTCTTATAGCATATAATAATTAACACAAAGATCCACAACTGGGCAACATGCAGAGAGAGAGAGAGACTTTAGAGTATTCAGCCCTGAAAGAGATGTCTTATCATATCCTCTCCCTGTCAAAGTTCAGGCATCTATATGGGAGTGGAAAAGTGGAAGAGCCAGAGGTGGTGGATGATTTTAAGGAAACAGTATTGTACAGGCACAACAGGGCAGATACACATATGAACTCATAGAGACAGTGACAGTGACAGTATGCATAAGACTGACGCAAGCTCAAGTCAGACAAACCTGCCACCCTCCGCACCCCCTACAAAAGAAGGGCATTGACACAAAGTTCTACCACTAGCCAAGAAGCTATTCTTTTAAACTTTTAAAAATTTAGTGTGTGTGTGTGTGTGTGTGTGTGTGTGTGTGTGTGTGTGTGTACCACATGTATGGGGGTGACCACTGAGCAGAAAGGGGCTTTAGATCCCCTGGAATTGGAGTTATAGGCAGTTATGAGCAATCCGAGGTAGGTGCTAGAAACCAAACTTGGGTCCTTTGCAAGATCAGTACTCTTAACCACTGGGCCGTATCTCCAGCCCCCTTTTATGCTTTCATGCATTTATGGTATTGTTCTCTTTCCCCTCCTACCCCCTCTCTCTACTCAGCCCTCATCTACTCCCACTCTTCTCTACTAACATTTTTTAAATAGTGAAGGCCAGTATTTTATAGACTAGCCCCAATTTTCATTTATCTGATTGTTCTCTTATGAGAAGATACAGGTGATATAATTTTGGCTGGAATGCCACCCAGATGGCATAGTAGTCTTTTCATTGCATCAAATTGGGTGCATGAGTCAGATTATTCATTATTAGTTATATTTAAACTTGAGTGAGGTGAAATAGACCATATATCTTTATTGTAAAATTATCCTTTTGCTTTGTAATTAATACGTAGTAATGTGTAATTAATAATCTGTCATTAGACTTTAAAACTGTGTGAATAGCCTTTTTTCTAAGAATTGTATACCCAATATATGTGGAACCATTGTTTTTTAACTGAATCAATTATGGTTATGGTGGTTATTGTTTTTGTTACTTATTAGCTGTTATTCTTCTGTTTAAAAAATCTAATTAGCTATTCAAAATTGAACCTATATTGGATTAAATTTACCATTTAAGAGACAAAAAAAGAATTAGGAAATATTGTATTTTTAAATTCTTAATAAGTTTATACCTTATGGTTCAGGGCAATATGTAATTCAGGTGGAATTCACAATCATCTCTGCACTAAAATGGTAACATTTAATACCAATATTAATTCCTATGGTCCCAGTCTTCACTTTGTCATAGCTAGTTTGGGCAAATCATCTATTTGTGAGCCTATTTCCTATTCTGTAAAAGATGTGTCTAGTGTTCATTTTTTAATTTCACACCAACATAATGGTAGTGTGCTCTGTCTCCAGTGAATTTTTTAAAATTTTCTCAAGGAAGCATTTATGAGCATGGATACTGCAACCAGGAGTACTTTTGAGCAAACAGTGCATTCTTCAATGTGGTACATAATAATAAAAGCTTGAATATGTTCTGCTGAACAAGGTGATAACAATAACATGAAGGGGAACTCTCATTTCCCAATGTATAAACACAAGTGTGTGCTGTAAACCTCAAACTCTCCTCTCCCTAACACAAGTCTTTGTTTTTGTGCTGCATTGTAACTTTCTATAACTCCTTTGTCCTGCCAAGTGCCTGACAAAAAGTAAGGGAAAAGGAGTGCCCTAACCTGCCTTGACCAGCTACACTGGGCTTGCCAAGATTCCCACCCAGTTATTTTCAGCTTCTTATTGAAGTATTTTTTAAAAACAAACTCAACTTCACTGTCTGCACCTCTTGGTGTGCTCTGTCACTCTCTGCATGTGTGTGTGTCTCTCTGTCTCTCTCTGGTTTTTTGAAACAGGATCTCACTGTGTAGCCCTGGATGGTCTGGAACTCACTCTTTAGACCAGGCTGGTCTTGAACTCCCAGCAATTGAACGCATACACCACCATGCTGGCTTACCTCTCTTATAAAATGTTGTAGAGTAACTTCCCTGTTGTTTTATTGTGTCTGTGTCTCTTGTAAACCACCTGAAAGAGTAAAGGAGTTTTCCTAAGTTAAGAGACTATACCCGTGGATAAAAGAGTTTTCACATCACTGTTTCTTCAGGACAGGAATGATCAGGGACACTGCTCCCATAAGAAAATTAGAAAGATGCATCTCCAATCTGGGGGCCATTATGTAACAGGAAAATTGGCCTTTGTATACAGTTGGAACAAATGTAAATAGGAAAAGTAACTTTCTGACTTTGAAATTCCTCCTTCTCATAGTACACATTGGTTCCATAGGCTTTGTAGCTGAGCAGTTTCTAAACAATACAGCCACTCAACTGACGTACCATGGATTATGTGAACTGACTTCAACCGTTCAGGAAGGAGAGCTCTGTGTGTTCTTTCGGAATAACCATTTTAGCACCATGACAAAACACAAGGTAGGATATAGAAACAGATTTTTTTTTACTCCCTATCAAAGGAGCTTGATTTAGAGATGTGTTTTGACCTGTTACAGAATAAGATTGAGCATAATATTCCTTAGCCATCAAGTTGTGAGGGTAATTATTATTAAATACCGCATTAGAATGGGATGAATTAGCAATTGAAATGTTACCTTGATCAGCTTTTATTTTAAATGTAGTCTCAACTTCTTTATCACAGATTATTGCATTCAAGTGTTTACTTTTCTACTTTCTTGGAGAGAGGATTTCACTGGGTAATTCACACTAGCCTTGAATTTGAAATCTTTCTGCCTCAGTCTTTGGAACACTGGAATTATAGGCATGTGCAATCATACCTAGCAAGGTTATTTCTTACTTAGAGGAAGCAAGATACCTGGAGCTAAAACCAGGGTGACTATGAATGAAGGATTTTATTTTAAGCATTAAACGATATTAGAAGTTAGAAATAAGATTTGCCCTAAACTGGAATGTGTTGGTGATTGCCTGTGATGAAAGCTACTGAAGAGGCTGAGCAGAAGGATTGCAAGTTCAATCCAGCCTGGGTTACATAAGTAGATTACCCACCCCCAGACATACACAAATTATCTTTATGACAATGTTGAGTTTTGTTAAAGTTATCAGTGTGTTTATGGTTTTGCACACACACACATACACACACACTCACTCTTAGGAATCCATCCCTTTTATTCATCTCTTAGATCTGTCTCTTGATTTTACAGGTAACATTTAACTACTTAGGTATTTATCATCAACCTAGACTCCTATGGCAGGATGCTGTTCTTACCATGTTGATAATACAGCACAGATGTTCAGTTGGCACCTATCCTAGAGGATAAAACACAAGTTCCCTCTGCCACAGTTCTCATCCTATATGAGTTTAATATGTTCTCATTTACTGCCATTCTTATTGCTTCATACTATTTGGGAAGCTCTCCTCACTTCTGTTTGCCTATTCCCAAATTACCCATCCTTAAAGAAGCATTCAAATACTAATTTACTGAAAAGTACCCCTTTTCTACTTAAAATAGTGATTCTCAGCCCTAGACCTATCTGGATTGCTTTTAAAAAAAATACCAATGCCCAGAACTTACCACTAATGCAATTAAATCAGAATCTCTAAAGGAGGTGGGATCTGAACACCAGGTTTTGTTTTCTGTTGGTTTTTGCAATCTCAAGGATTAGACCCAGTGCTTTACAAATAGTAGGCAGGCACTCCACCGTTATGCTACACACTGTCCTGAATCAGTAGCTCAAGCGCTCCCCAGGTGATCTGAATGTGAGTCTAAGACTGAGGACTACTGCAGTGACCGTCCTCTACCTGTTAGTGGCCACACTGTTCTTAGGGAGCTCTTTCTGTTTTGTGTCTTGTGACCAGTTTGTCTCCCATGTGAATGTCTGCTTATTTTCTAAATGAAGGTAGCTTATTGACATCATAAATCACATCTTCATATTTTCATCCATGCTTTTTTATCGATGGGTGACATGGGATAGTGTAAAATGATTTACTAGTGAAAGAATACCCCAAAGCCACAGCTCTTCTATGACTGTCATATTTTTAAAAAAGTACATTTCGTTTTATTGCTTCATAGTTAGGAGTGTGCAAGATGTAAGATGAGAGTCATTCACATTCCTCAAGAATCTAAAGCAAAAAGGTGTCAGATCCCAATGGCTGCTCTGTCATCTTGTTTTACTTGTCCTCTTCAGACCTTGGATCCACTGATTCATTAACAAAGCTAAGCTAACCCTGACAAGTATAGCCATAGATACAACAGCCAGGGTTCCTGGCATTAAAGACTTCTTTGTTTGCTGCTAAGATACTTCTGTCAAGGACACATACCAAAAGTTCTGAGAGCTCTTATCAGGATTTTATCTGGAAAGACTCCCCTGAGAAGGTCACAGACAGTGGTAAAGCACTTGCCCAGAACACACAAGACCCTAGATTCAGCCCCCAGAGCACCGCAAAAAAGGAAAAAAGGAAAGAAGAAAGGAAGGAAGGAAGGAAGGAAGGAAGGAAGGAAGGAAGGAAGGAAGGAAGGAAGGAAGGCAAGCATCTGAAATCTGAGTTGAATCAGCTAACCACAAAAGGAATAACTAAGCTGAAGTAACTCACAGCATGAGTGCCAAGGCCCTGAAGGTGGTTGTAGCAAAAGAGAACTGTGAAGTGGAAGCTTAGAAGAAAGTTTTTTTTTCTGACTTTTATTTTTTGTTTTTGTTTTTTGAGACAGGAAAAAAACAAAAAACAAAAAACAGGGTTTCTCTGTGTAGCCCTGGCTGTCCTGGAACTTGCTCTGTAGATCAGGCTGTCCTCTAACTCAGAGATCCACCTGCTTCTGCCTCCTGAATGTTGAGATTAAAGGCATGTGCCACCACCACCTGGATGAACTGTGTTTTCTTAATGATCCTGGTATTTCTTTTCTTCTTCTTTTGGCCCAAGAGTGAGTTGGAATGAAATAGTCCTTTGGGAAAACAAGGTCTCTGTCTTTGGTGACTGAGAGCTTTCTCTCACTCTTCCCTCCCCTCCCACCCTTCACCTCATATGTGCTAGGTAAGCACTGTACCATAGAACTACTGATGTTCTCTGTTCTGTTAAAGCCTTGTTTCCAGCCAGGAAACCTTTACTGACCAGTTAGGTATCCCCAGTTTTGTGTGGTTGAAGAGGATGTGCCTATGTATAGACTAAGTAGGCCTATCTATGTCATAGGAGCTCAGAAAATATGTATGTTCTGCCTTTTTTCTGCTTCTAAAATTTCCTATTAAGTTTATTCTGTAGCTTAATATTGCACTAGTGTCATGTGCTCTCATGTCCCTTGTGTGACATTAATTTGCTTTAAACTTTGAAAGTGGATGTGGAATTTAGTTAGGAGACACTCCAGGAGATAAAGGAAGGAGATTATAGTGATTTGGACAAGGGGTAGTAATGGCTATACAATGTGGAAAGATTCCAGAGTGGGTCAGGAGATAGATCAGCCAAATATCTCCATTGGATTTGAAAAATAAGTGATTTCTGGGTCCTCTGTAGATGGTGATAGTGAGGCATGGTGGCTCACATCTTCAATCCTAACACTTGGGAAGCTGAAATAGGTGAACCTCTGTGAGTTCAAGGCCAACCTGATCTACATAGCAAGTTCCAGGTCAGCCAGAGTTACAAAACTCTGTCTCAAAACAAATAAACAAACAAGAGAGAGAGAGAGAGAGAGAGAGAGAGAGAGAGAGAGAGAGAGAGATACACAATACAATGTTAAGGGTCTGAGATGTTAGAGATACTTCTGAGGTGACATTCAAAGTGTAAATGCTTTGGACATACAGATAGAACTTTAGGATTTACAAGAAACTACAGTAATTTTGGAAGGGGGTTATAAGAAAAGTAGTGGCCCATGCCTTTAATCCCAGCACTTGGGAGGCAGAGGCAGGTGGATCTCTGTGAGTTCAAGGCCAGCCTGGTCTACAAGAGTTAGTTCCAGGACTCCAAAGCTACAGAGAAACCCTGTCTTGAAAAACCAAAAAAAAAAAAAGAAAGAAAGAAAAGGACTCAGAAGAGAGAACCTAGGATTGAGATTTAATGAATGCCAACTTTTAAAGGGTCAGCTCAAGGAAGAAACATTAGTAAAGACAGCTGAGAAAGAAGAGGGCATAAGGGAAGTTAAGAGTGCGACAGCGGAAAACTAGGAAGCTAGGGGAGAAGAGATAAGAACTCTGAGGGTAGAGTGGAAGGAGGGACCAGAATGGCAGCAAAAGAATTTGAGTTGCTTAAGAGTGGTTGGAATGGAGAAGGCAGTAGCAGGCACTCCTAGAAATGATTTGCTGAGGGCTGGAGAGATGCTTCAGTTAAGAGCACTGGCTGTTCTTTCAGAGGATCTGGAACCCAAGTCATGTGATTCTTAAACACACACACACATAAAAAAATAAGCATTAAGACAAGCATACATACATATATATATACATATATATATATATATATATATAGTTTTTCAAAATAGGAGATATTATTGAATATAAGGGTAATGGCTCCTCCCTGTAGGGGATTTAGGGTTGTAGGTGTGGATCCCAAGGTTGACGTTTTTCATATTTTTGTTATATTTTGTCTTATGAGGCAATTTTACTATGTAGGTTTGGCTGGCCTGGAACTCACTGTGTAGATCAGGCTGACCTTGAACACATAGAAATTTACCTGTCTCCTAAATTTCAAGATGCAAGTATTCCACCACCATGCTTGGCCTCAGACTATATACATTGCTCGCTCAACCTCAAAATCCAGGACCCAAATGATGTTCCCACCTCGAGTTCCCTTGCACCACTAGTACCATAGTCACAGACTATTGCACCTGCATCTGGCTCTTGGGTTGTTTTGTGTGTTTGCTTGTGTGTTATTCATTACTACTGGAGAGTGCACAACATTGTGTGACCACTGAGGCACAGACACTTGTCTGTCATGGTGCACGTGTGGAGGTAAGGGGACAACTTTAGCAAATCAGTTCTCTCTCTTTCTACCATATGGGTCCCAGAAATCAAATGCAGGTTATCTTTTACCCCTAAAACAATTCCACTGCCCCTCCCATTTTTATTTCCTTCAATGTTAGAGACTTGACTGTTTTAAAACATTGGCAGGCTCATTAGAGAGAGGAAAAGTGAAGATCCCAAAGATGTTAGAAACAAAGCATAAGAAGATGAAATGAAGTGCGGGTATCTGTACAGGTGAAGAACATCAACATGTAATTTCACTGTGTTATTTGTTTTGAAACGGTCTCCCTACATAGCCCTGGCTGTCTTGGAACTCACTGTGTAGACCAGGTTGGCCTTGAACTCACAGAGATTCACCTCTCTCTTTCTCTGTGTCTCTCTTTCTCTCTCTCCATCCCTCCTTCCTTCCCTCCCTCCTGAGTGCAGGATTAAAGACATGTACCACTACACAGAGCAACCTGTGATTTTAAAGGGGATCTATCTGTGCATTGTAATGAGGGGGAAATAGGCTATCAGGTTTGCTTTTGCTTACTTTTTTCCTGTTGGAGATTAGAAATGAAAAGTAGTGTTCTGGGTGATACTAAAGTTGGTAAGAAACAAATATGAGGTTTGAGGAGTAGCAGAGTGGTAAAGAAACTTGCTTATTAGCAGGTTCTACAAAGCCCTGGATTCATTCCCCAGCACTGCTAAATAAACAAATACAATAATAATTTGTTAATTCTTTTTACACTTTGACTAAGAATGATAGCTTCTTCCCCACAGAATTTTAACATTTAAGTGAAAATCCATTTAGTTGTTTTAAAGGTGACTGATAAATGAGAAATTTATTTTAAAGGTAAGAAAGGGGAGGAGAAGTGGGAGCAGGAGCAGGGAGTGACTCCACCACAGGCAGGAGTGTGTCCTTCCCCTAAGAAGGGGCCAAGGGACAGCATGTTCATTAAATAATAGCAGGGCAAAGGACGTGTAGTTCAGTGGTGGAGCACTCCCACACAAATGGGCTGGAGAGTGTCTCCATTTAAGAACAGGATCTGACATACTTCTGGCCCCATGGGCACTGCACTTGTGCACCAGCCCACACACAAACACATAGTTTGGGGCTTTGTGTCGTTGTTTAAAGGAGCAAAATGGTACACAGAAAGGGAAAGGCTGGTTTGGGTTAGATTGGTCCTATCAGCTTAATTTTTTAAGTAAATAAAACCAGACAATGTAGAATTTTTTTTTTGCATATGCTTTCTGGTTGTATCTTTCTGTTTTGTGAAATGAGATTGTAAGCCCCAGAGCTGTTTGTCAGTTAGCATGCCAGAAGGTTCCTCCTGTTCCATTGTGATGTGTTGACTACCAGCTCCAGGCAAAACCAGATGAATTTGAGCAGAGAAGCTATCTGCTTGGGCTCTTTATTGGATCACACAGATCCCAGGTAGAATAATTACTGTACTTCAGACATATGACTTCAAAAATATTCCTTAAATATAATGTTGGCTAGTTTAGGAAAATTTAACAAATTTTCATTTGTTGTTTCTGATTAAGGGTCAACTGTATTTGTTGGTAACAGACCAGGGGTTTCTTACTGAAGAAAAAGTTGTCTGGGAAAGCCTGCACAATGTAGACGGTGATGGGAATTTTTGTGACTCAGAATTCCACCTTCGACCTCCTTCAGATCCTGAGACTGTGTACAAAGGTCAACAAGACCAAATAGATCAGGTAAAATTGTTTTTCCCCACCACCCATCGCATTGTCTAAAGTGCATATTCTCGTTCTCTTCTTTCTTTTTTCTTTTTCTTCCCCCCACCTTTTTGAGATAGGGTCTCACTATACAGCCTTGACTTGTCTGGAGCTCCCTATGTAGACCATGCTCCCTTGAACTCAGAGATCTGCCTACCTCTGCTTCCCAAATGCTGAGACTAAAGACTTGTGCCACCATGCCTCGCTAAAGTGCATATTTTTCATTGAGGCAAGGTAATGTGCACAGCTACTTGGGAGACTGGGGGATGTCACTGAGCTCACAAGTTGGAACCAGCCTGGGCAACATAGCATGATCCGGTATCAACAAGAAAAAGCAAATTCGAGACTGGGTTTCTCTGTGTAACCCTGGCTGTCCTGGAACTCATTGTATAGAACAGGCTGGCCTCAAACTCACAGAGAACTGCCTGCCTCTGCCTCTGAGTGCTAGGATTAAAGGCATGTGCCACCACTGCCAGACTATTTATCCATTAATTTACCTGTGAGTTCTCACATTTCCTAAATAGGAAAGTGATCATTCTATAAATTCTCTATGAACATCAATTATACACTATGATTCAGAAGGTGGATTGTGTTGAAGGGTCATAGTGAGGACTTTGAATTTCATTCTAATTACAGTAGAACAATTATGTTGAGGACTAAATGTGGAAACTGCATGAACCATTTTATTGTATTTATTTACTTAGTTTGTTTGTGAGTGAATATGTGTACCACAGTGCACCTGGAAGTCAAAGGACAGTGTGCAGATCTGTCCTTTCCTACCAACCATGGGTACTAGGAATTGAACTCCAGTCATCAGGCTTGGCAGTAGGAGCTGAAACACAGACACACACAGTCAGGGGATCTCTCTCTCTCTCTCTCTCTCTCTCTCTCTCTCTCTCTCTTCTCTATGTTGTCCTGGCTGTCCTCGATCTGTAGACCAGGCTGGCCTCGAACTCAGAGATTCACCTGCCTCTGCCTCCAAGTGCTGAGACTACCACCACCCAGTGAGAGAGAATACGTAAGTAAATAAGTGTAAAAATAATAAATTAGGTATAACTTTGACCAAAATGAACTTCTTCTCATAGGAGATAATCTAGGTATTTAGCTAGAAGACATAATTACCTAGTAATTGAATTTAACAATAGCTACTTTGGCTTTAAAAATCATCTTTTGGGGCTAGGAAAATAGCTCAGTTTATAAAGTGCCTGCTGTCCACACATAGGACCTGAGTTCAATTCCAGCACCCATGTAAAAAGCTGGAAATGGTCACATACACTTGTAATCTCAGTGCTGCGAGGCAGAGACAAGATGATCCCTGGGACTCACTGGCCAGCATGAAAACCTGAGTTCAAATTCCCAACATCCATGTAAAAAGTTGAGTATGGCAACATATCCCTGTAACCCCAATATTAGGGATGGAAACAAGTGTCTCCTGAGAGCTGATTGACTACCTGGCAACTTCTAATTGACCAAGACACCCTGTCTCAAGACAGTAATACAGTTACAGAGAGTAACACAGACTGTTTCAATACAGAAAGATAAACAGTGTCCTGCTCCGACCACCAAAGGTGTGCACACATGCACATACTTGTACTATTCCCACCCCTTACACACACTCACAGAAAGAGAAAAAAATATGAATGACACTTGAGGTTGTCGTGGCTTCCACTCACAGGCAACTTTGAGGTGAGCCAGGTCTATATAGCAAGGGTCTTCCTCAAATGAGTAACTAAGGACTGGAGAGATGGTTCAGTTCATTCAGGCTACTCTTCCAGAAGACCCAGGTTTAATTCCCAGCAACCACATGGAGGCTCACATCGGTCTGTAACTCTAGTTCCAGGAGCTTTGGCACCCGCACACAGGCATACATGCAGGAAAAAGAAAAAGTAACTAAATACTGTAAAATTTAAAAAGGGAATCATTCTTTGAGCTGAATATGGTATATAGCTGTAATCCCAGCCCTCGGGATTCCTAGGCACAAAGATCTGAAAGACCAGCCAAAGATACTTAATAAGACCTGGCTCGGAGCAGAACAAAACAATCTGGGGGGAGGAGGAGATAATTGAGCAAATAATCTTTTTTAATATTTATTTATTATGTATACAGTGTTATGTCTGCATATATGCCTTGGCACCAGATCTCATTACAGATGGTTGTGAGCTACCATGCGGTTGCTGGGAATTGAACTCAGGATCTTTGGAAGAGCAGGCAGTGCTCTTAACCACTGAGCCATCTCTCCAGCCCTAAGCAAATAATCTTATGAAGTTCTTAAACTATTTAAAAACAAATGCTAAATGGAAAATAAAAAGCTTAAAATAGTTTTAGAGGGTGGGAGATATGTTTGAATTTCTATGTGAATGTGGAACATACTAGATGGCTATAAATACTCCACAGTTACATCTGTTACAGTGATTTCAGCCCTCACATTTCTGGTTTTCTGTCTTTTCTGCATGTTCCTTGCTCACATGTTTCTTTTGAAAATGGGAACTTTTTTCAATAGCTTTCTTATATGCCTTATTTATTGCTTCTAGAAAAGATTTCAAACTAAATGCTAAAACTGTGTAGAACAATAATAATAATGAAGGAAATCTGTTGCTCTACAAAGAAGTCCTTAGAAATAGAGCTTTAAAGACCTATGTCGTAAAAGTCATTCTCGGACTCATCAGTGGTGTCTGTTCCTGGTCACATCTCAAAGCTGAAGCAGTTGTGATTGAACTCCTCAGGACTACCTTATGGCACTGTCACTACAGCAAGAACAGCAGAGCCAAGAGATCAACTGGGAGCAAATCCCAGAAGGAATCAGTGACCTGGAGTTGGCGAAGAAACTCCAAGAAGAGGAGGACAGACGGGCCTCTCAGTACTACCAGGAGCAAGAGCAGGCGCAGGCAGCTGTGGCTGCTGCCACCACTTCCACACAGGTCCAGGTAAAACTGTAACTCTGTGAATCTCAAACATGACAGTCACTTTAGCAGTAAAAGAATTTCTGCTTGGCACAAACAATTGTAAGCCAGCTCTGGCTTTTCAACTGTGTTAGCATGTCAGCACCTAAGGGTTTGAGGAACCTTTGTTTTGCTTTTTTTTAAATTTATTTTTTCAATTATTTTATTTTATTCTATTTTTTGTTTTTCAAGAAAAGATTTTTCTGTTTAGCCTGGAACTCACAGAAATCTGCCTGTTTTTGCCTCCCAAGTGCTGGGATTAAAGGCATGTGCCACCACTGCATGGCTTAGATTAATTTATGCATATGAGTGTTTTTCTTATATGTATATCTGTGCATCATGTGTGTGCCTGGTGCCTGTGGAAATCAGAAGAAGGCATGGGATCCCCTGGGACTAGAGTTATAGACGATGGTGAGCCACCATGTGGGTGCTGGGAATCAAGCCCAGGTCCTCTGCAAGCACAAGTCTTCACTGTTGAGTCATCTCTCCAGCTCTCCCTGCGGGATGTTTCACATTGTTCTAAGGTTTTTACCATCCTAACATATTTCTGATTTCATGAAGACATTTTTTTCAGAGGTTCTGATAAGATAGGAGGATCTCAAGGGCTTGCTGGCCACCAACTTAGCTCCAGATTCTGTGAGAGAACATCTCTCAAGGAAATAAGATTGAGAGTGACAGAGAACACCAGATGAACACCTCTGACCTCACACTCACACCCTCCACACACACATGGACCTTAAATTCTAACTGCTATTAATAATAAAAACCCAGAGTCAGATACAGGGGTTAATGCCAAAGATCAGAGAAGCAGAGAGGCCAGACACTAGAGAGACCTTTTACCTCTACTGAATCCTCCAACTGAAGGGGTGATCCTGTCTCTATGAATCCTCAGACTGCAGACTGCATCTGAGCTCCTGTCTCCTCCCACTTTATATTCCTCTTTCCACCTGATCATATCCTATAGTGGTATATTACATGTGTTTTAATAAATGAAGCTTGCCCGAAGATCAGAGAGCAAAGCAGCCATACAGGCCAGGGAGTGGTGGCACACACCTTTAATCCCAGCACTAGGGATTAATCTTGGGGGTGGGGCGACGAAGCAGACAGATCTCTTGAGTTCAAGGTCTCCTGGGCTACAAAGATTGAATCTGTCTAAAATAGAAACAGAGCTCTCACAAAGATGCTCACAGCATTTGGGATCACATGCCTTTAATCCCAGCATTACGGAGGTGGAGACAGGAGCGATATGGCTGGGCAGAGAGAGGGATATAAAGGAAAAGAGAAAGGAGTGTGGAGTCTTCAGGATTCATGGAGACCATATCTCACCCATTTTCAGTCTGAGGTGGAGATACGAGAAAGTGGCTAGCTGCTTTGCTTTTCTGTCTCCAGGTTGAACCTAATACCTGTCTCTGGTGTTTTATTATTTGTGCTACAATATCCCTTTCTGTCTCCACTTCCCTAATGCTAGGATTAAAGGCATGCGACTCCCAAGTACTGGAATTAAAGGTGTGAGCCACTATCACCGGTTGTTTCTCTTTTAGACTGCATCAATTTTGTGTTGCCCAGGGTGGCCTTGAACTCACAGAGATCTGTCTGCCTCTGTCTCTGAATGCTGAGATTAAAAGTGTGTGCCACCACTGCTTGGTACTATGGCTAACTAGTGGCTTAGCTCTGCACTCTGATCTTCAGGCAAGCTTTGTTTGTTAGATCTCAAGCAAAATATCACCACACACACACACACACACACACACACACACACACACATTCTCTCTCTCTTTTTCCCTCTCTTTCATTAAAATACATGTAAAACTTCTGCTTCTAAATCAAGCACTAGCTATCCAAACTTAGCAGGTTGAGTCCTACCATATTATTTTATTTCATTCAAATTCTCTGATCTTGTAGCACACACTTATTATTTTACACTTTCAGTTACCAGGATTCTTGCTTTTTGCTTTAAGATTTGTTTGTTATGGCATACAATAAAGTCCTGAAGAAATACTAAATTTTTCCAAAATTGTCAGTTTAACATAAATATTTCTCTTTTGAGGGGGTGGGATGAGACAGGGTTTCACTGTTTAGCTCTGGCTGTTCTAGAACTTGCTTTTAGACCAGGCTGACTTTGAACTCACAGAGATCTGCCTGCCTTTGCCTCCAGAGTGCTCGGATTAAAGTCATGTGCCACCATTGCCCGGTTACATAAATATTTCTTCAACTAGAAGAGTTTAGATAATTATAGATTTGGAATGAGTACATAATTAATTGCACATTATTTGTGTCAGTTATTCTGTATATTAATTACTTCTCTCACACCTGACAGAAGCAACTTAGAGGAGATTTGTTGAGATCTGCAGGAAAGGGTACAGTTCATCATGATGAGGAAGGCATGGTTGGACAGTGTTCAGTTGATGTAGGTGGGAGTTGGTGGCACAGCATTTCCCATCCTTTCCATCAGGAAGCAGCAACAGAAGCAGACAGGAAGACATGCCCTGCCACTTGCTTCACATCCATTCTTATGTGGACCGCTAGGCCCTCTTCCTTAAGATACCCAAAACTTCTCACCGCAACAGGCCAGCAACAGGGACCGGGGCATCTGCCATTCAAACCTTAACACCTGTAAACAGAAATCGTGCCCTGCAAACATCTGTATCTGTGAGGATGCCTTTTGCCTTGTGGTTCTAGCTAGCTCTGATTCTGTTCCGGTGTGTGTTTCTCCTACAGCAGGGTCAGCCAGCACAAGCCTCTCCATCAAGTGTAAAACAGCCTGGAAACAGTGAACGGAAACGCAAAGAACCTCGGGAAAAAGACAAAGAGAAAGAAAAGGAAAAAAATAGTTGTGTGATATTATAGTAAGTGCTGGCATCTGTGGGAACCACCTATGCAGATGACGGAAAGGAAGACCCAGTACCTACCGTCTGTGCCTGATCTCTCAATGGATTTTGTTCTTGTTTTCCAGGGGAAGGTTGTTACTTTGTTACAATCAACTTTTTTAAGTTACACAATATACTCTTTATGAGCTGGAGTTTTGTTACAAAGTGGAACTGTTGTATGTTGTCACTTGTAGCCAAATAAGTATATCACTCCTATTTTACGTTTAGTGATATGACAACTCTAATCAGTTGGTAAGCTACTGTGTTCTTTCTGACAACGGATGGAGGTCACCAGAGTGAGTCCTATCCTTCTCAAGATGTAATTATCAGCACAGCTATTTCTGAAACATTTATGCTAAATTATGTTCTAATCCATAAGAAATGAGGAGTTTAATATAGGGAAAGGGGAAAAAAGCAGGAATAAATGACCCTTCATTGTACACTGAACTGGCTCAGCCCTTGAACAGCTTTACCTTTCTTTAGTAATGTACATTTTAGATATTATCTTGAGAACTGATAATGAAGCTTGGATCCAATTTAGATAGAAAAATATTTTTTATTTTCCAATAGCAAAAAAAAAACCCACAAAATTATATGACACTAATACATATAACCTATCCAAATCAGATACTGACTTTGTAGTATTGTGAGATTCTGAGGAATTTTAACATCTTTAGGTAACCTGAATGATGGTTTGTTTGTTAAGGATGTGGTAAGTGAGGAGACCACACTCATGTTTTAGCCTTGTAAATAGGATGGCAGGGAAGAGCAGAGTTCACTGTCTACCTTTTTCTAGAATTACCTTGAACCTTAAATTTTAAACCATGTTTATTACTAGAAAATTAAGCATAGTTATTAAAACCAATAACAAGCACATTTCTGAAGGAGAGTTAATCTCTTGACTCTAATGAAAAGATATTAATAAAATTCTGAACATAGCAGGAATCTGAAGGAATTTATGTAAAAGCAGTCAGATTTTTTTTAACTTATGAGAACCAAATAAACCTAAGACATCTTATATCATTTATAGGATTCTGAAAGAATATTTACTCAGCTTTGTGATGAGGCAGCACATATTGTAATTTCTAGATCAAGTTTGAAAACTATCCTTAACAGTCCTTTTTATATACTTTGTATTTAAAGTTTGTTTCAGTCATTTTTAAAGATTATTGCCAGTGCAGGTAGCTGTATGAATTGCCCTAAGCCTCAGTAAACTTGTTTATTCAGAAGCATCACAAATTGAACATCCAGTTAGAGAATATTTCTTGTGGTCTGGAGACAACAAAAGACTACAAAAAAAAAAAGTAGTCTAGAGTTTCTTAAGACTATTGTCATCAACATTCTCCATGATCCCAAACCAACTGTAGGATGGATCTGTATGTAAAAAGTAGTTTTATTTATAAAAAGTATTATTCTAAGGGGAAAAATTCAGGGCTATGCTGTATCCTTTATACTCTTCTATATTACATGTCTATTTATGTTCTTTGTTATTCAAATTTCCTATGCTAGCATGGGAACCAATCAGAGAACATGCTGGGCTATAAAATTTGTGTATAAAATACTTAAGTCTCTTGATTCCAACCTAGAGTGAGTATGAATTGTCAAAGACCAGAATCCTATGGGTGGGCTGACTCAGCATAAACATATAGATAGGCAGCACTCTGATACTTAGAGGAGAAAGCTCAAACCTCAGGGTTTGCTTTTCCCAGAACCATCTATTATCTTAATTTAGAAAACAATAACCTTGAGTAATTTTAAAAAGTATACTTGAGGCATATTTTTCCATAATTATATACAATATCTATTTATTGCCCTTAAAATCTATATATAGAAATTGTTACTTTTACTATCTTAATTTGTTCCAAAGATAATACTGCCATACTGCATTCCCTCTAGAAGAAAAAAAACAAACACAACTCACTCAAAACCAGCATCACTATCAGATAAGTAGGTGTCAATGTGCACTTATGACAAGCAATGAGTTGTGTTTATTAATCCAATCTTATGTCAAATTTCCAAGTCAGGCCTGGTTACATTCCTGGAATTGTTTGATAAGACAAGAGTCATAATATATGTTTTGATTACTGTGGGAGAAATTAATGTTTGACTCTTAAAACAAATTTGTGAGATGCTTTCCTGTCCTCGAAGGCTGTCAAGGATCTAAATTGTCGTGTGCTTGTTTCCTATGTTTTGCTCAAGGTAGCAAGTGATATTCAGACATATTGTTGCTTATTTGGGTACAAAGGACTTTGAATATGGTATTTTGAGGGATTTTTTTCCCCTCATAATACTTTGTAATACTTGAAATTGTTATACATATCTTGCTATCAGACGTTAGAATTTAAACATTTTGGAGCTTAATGTTTCTAGACTAAATTTCAGGCACATTTGACCGATATGCCCACTCAGCATGAGAACAACTGGCAGGAGGCAAGTGGAAGAGCAAATATGGTCCCTGGCTTTTCTCTTGCTTTCAAAGCAGTCTTAAAGTTAGTAGGTCAGTCTTTATTAGTGTGCAGTTCTTCATGGGAAACCCTGTTGTATAACAGTGCTATGACTTGTATTAATTTATCAATACCGAGAAGCATGTTGTTTTTGAAGGTTTCCATGACCTCTGTTTGGGTCTCAAAGCAAAACTTCCTATAAAATTTAAGTCATTTTAAAAATATGCACATACACACCAGGTTTAGGAGTGTCACCCAGTGGTAGACCATTTGCCTGGAATGCTTAAGGCCCTGGGTTCAATCCCCAGAACATGCGTATGTGCATAGACACACTGAGAAGTATGGTGTAAGCAGTTAATCATGGTGTGGGCTTTAGGCCCAGCCAGTGTTCATGGGTAGAATAACTTCCTCCATGTTTTAAGGGTTTAGGGTTTGAGCAAGACAGAGGCTTAAGTTTGGGATTAGGTGTATCTTGTTTTTGTTGCCTCACTTTTCTTCAGTTTGTTTTGGATTCTTCATGCTCCTCATGTCAGACATAAGCTGACTAAACTCATGTTAGCCATTCTGTACTCACACAAAAACCTCATAGCATTTTGTTTTCTGTGAACGGTAAACTCAGTGAGGACCTTGAGGACCACAGGGCAGATGTGAGGAAATGGATGACTCACGATTACTTGTCTGTGTTGGCATGTGAACAGATGTCTGTAAAATCCTAGCAAATCAAGGCAAGAATTTTTAGAACTGTCCTCAGTCTTGCTTAAACTTTTAGACATGGTATTGCTGTCTAGCCAGCTGACCTGGAATCAACTGTTGTAGCCCTGGCTACCTTCAAACCCAGAATCCTCCTGCCTCAGCTTCTCACTGCCGTGATTACAGGCATATGCATCATACCCAGCTTGTTTAACTTTCGTAAAGCTAACAGCAAACTGATTCCATTGTACCAGTTACTATTTTTTCTTATGAAAGCTTACAGGTTTGCACATATCACCGTCATAGGCATAGAATTTAAATTGAAAAATTAATGTTTGACAAAATAAGGCAAAGACATTAAAGGTAATTATTCATATTTTAAGGGATTAGACATGTGAAATCCTGGATCATTTGATGTTTGAAGCTTTTGTCTGAGCATGGTAATACACACCTGTCACTCAAACACCAAAGGTGTTTGGGGAAGCTGAAGCAGGAGGATCCTGAGTTCAAGGAGACCCTGGGCAAGTAGTAAGACCCTGTCTCCAAACACAAACCTGCCTTTGTCTTGTTTTGGCAATCATTGTGCACCTCAGTTTCCTCTGTGTGCAGGGTGCTCCTATTCTGCCACTCCCCATGCTTGCTTCTCCTGAGCACCGAGAATTACTGAGATCATCAGACGTTGCACAGCCTCTGTTCTTGAATTGCAGACTTTATAATGACTTAAATCAGTTTATTTTTAAAATGCCATTAGCTTCTAGAACTATTTCAAATGTGGCATGGCTTTCAAAAATATATTTTGTGTTGCTTTTGTATGTGGTAGACTAGTATCAAGACCAGGAGTATTTGGCATATAAAATGCACTTTACAGACCTGCTCTCCTGGTATTCTTTACAATTTAAGTGCTTAGAGCCTCTTGGTCTTTTCCTTCCCTCCAGAGTAAAGAAGCATCAGGAACTGACCGGTCTCTCCGCTGGTATCAGTGTAGACTACTTATTTGTGGCTTGGTGTGAAAATGGACTCTGATAGTGTGCAAGTCAGTTCCTTTAGACAGTGAGAAATCATAAAGGAACAATTGAATCTGAGATTGTTTCTCTGATAATTTAGTGTCTTTTGTTGCTGATCAAAAGTTATGAAGAATTGAGTTCACTTTTCTCAGATAACAGTTGAGAATAACTTTTAAAATTAAAAGCTCCCTGAAGGGAATAAATACAGAGAAGGTAAAACAGGAGGGTACCTTGCAGAATGGTGGAAAACTGATTTTGAAAATCTAAAATTTAATTCGTGCATGTCTTTACTTAATCCTGGTATTTCTGCTATTAGGAAATAGAGCTTAACAAATTGATAAATGCATATATTTTTTTACATGTAGGATTCTAGTTTCTACCTTCTGAACTCAAGAAAACTAAACTCAACAAACAGGGTAAATATCTTCAACTCTTGCCTCAAATTCAATGTTCCTTTGTCCTGACAAAGGTAGTTATATTTGTCTAATAAGCTGGTATCTTTAGGGCATGACACCCTCCCATTAACTAGTTGAAATAACGATGGCAAAGACAGGAAACCCAACCTTTGTCCCATGGTGAAGTTAAAAGAGCAAAAGTCCCATCCCAGAAAGTGCTCACTTTATCTAGCATGAATTGTAAAGATATCACCTTTTAAATGTTCAATTCTGCACTGTTGCACCTAGAGAGGCAAGGTGGCCCTGTAATTAGAGGATGTACAGTGCGGAGTCCTATGGGCAGTCCTGGCTCCTTTGCCTTCAGTAGTCATTTTATAGCTTAATGTGGAAAGTCAGGGAGCTGAAATGCCCATTATAAATCCCAAGTCACAAGATCCTAACAGAAATCCCCTATGAAGCAGCTGTAACTGAGATAAGAGATTGGTGTTTAATCTTTAAAATGTCTGGTTTGTCAGAATGTGTGTTGCTATTCTTTCCCACCCATTATTTGTATGAGATAACCACTGTGAAAGGATTCAGTGTCTCTTCACTTTCCAAGTTTGTTTTTTAGTGAAGCTTTGCTCTAGTAGTTTTTGTTGATTTATTTTCTGCAATAAAATGACAACTATTGTCACAGATCCACATAGGACCAGGTAATAGAAGACTGCTAAATGACAGAAGGGATAATTTCCCAGCACATGTGATTCGATTCCCTTGCTATGGGCTGCATACGTAGGTTGAAACATGGAACTGGGAGAGCAAAAAGGTAAACAGAATAATAATGGAAACTGTCATTTTGAACAGCAATAAGGAAAAGAAACAGGTTTTCTCCCCCGACTTGAGTGTGAGGCCAATTTCCTCTGACCTGTGGAGCTATGTGCTGCTGAGATGGGCTGTGGGAACTGTCTGTCCCAGCATCTTTTCTACTTCTAAAAAGTTACTCTTCCACTTTAAATGCAAGCGAAGAATAAAGACACAGGGAATGGGATATGTTCATTGAAAAGAGACACCTAAAATGCGCCTACTCATCACAGGGCTGAACTGATTTCTGTGAAATAAATTGATTGTTTTAAATGCTAATTATGCTAAGAACACCTCTAAAAATTATGTCTTAAATTTCAAGTTTCACTTTTGGAAACTATTCCTGAAAAGACATTGAACACAGGTGGGAAAGTATAAAATGTTCTGACAATGATTCAGTATTATTGTTTAATCTCAAATTCGTTGTTATACAGTGTAGTGTCATCATTGGGTTAAAATGTTGGATGTTTTTGTTAATATACTTAAAACTGTAACCAGTGAATAACATTGTAGTATTTTTTATTATAGATTATATTTTATTTCAATAAACTTTGATATTTAGACCGAACATTCTGTGTGTCAGCTCATCACATTAAGCTGCTGTCCATGTGGCTGGTCACATTTACTTGAGATTTACTTAGATCAGTGTTTGACACAACATACAGTTAATAATCAACTCTAAACTGCAACCCTTGATTCTGGTGAGCAAGAGTCACCATCTCACACAGCTCTCTTATCAGAGGAGTTAGTTCAGGAAAAACTGAAAGGGATCATTTCCTCCTGCCACCGTGGGTCAAGCTGCCAGGCTACTGCTACATGTACCTCTACCCACAGAGCCATATCATTTTGTTTTCTAAGTGATTTTCAGAGGTATTTATGCTACAGCTCAAAATTAGTATTCATCTTGAATGGTCAAAAACTCTATTGTGGACACTCAGGATAGTTCACACTTGTAATTCCAGCACTTAGGTGGCTGAAGCAAGAGGATCACTGTGAACTAAAGGCCAGCCTAGGCTACAAAATGAGAGACATTGCCTCAAGTTTCAAAAAAAAAGCTCCAACCAGTGCCAGTTTCTCTTACTGAGTTGACTAAGTTCAAACCTCAACCATGTCCCTCATTAGGGTCTCAAATGCCAGACTCCTGCTTCCTTACTTAAAGACATCAGGGGTAGAACAGAGATGACTAGAGTCAGCCATGCCCACAATGAAATCATTCAGATTAGTCCAGAGGGGAGTCCTGAACTGGCAAACCTCACCACTCTTTCCCATCAATAACTGTCCCCCAGAGCTGTAGCTGGATGCAATAACCTGGTGGGTGGTAGCACAAGCTTTCTCCCTCATCACATCAGGACTGTAAACAAGAGACCAATTTCATATACTCAAGCATCATACTGAATCTAATCATCACCGCCATCTTTAACTTTGGAGGTGCAAGCTTGGGATTCCAACACTCTGGAGACTGAGACATGAGGAATCAGGAATTCCAGACCAGCTTGGGCTACATAAGACCTTGTTTCAAAATGGGGCAAAAATGAAGACAGTGAGTCAGGCACGGTGGTACATATTAGTAATCCCAGTACTCAGAGGTGGAGGGTGGTAAATTAAAGACCAGTCTGAGATACAGTAAGACTCAAGGAAGGAGTAAAAAAGAAAGCAGGCCATCACAGGGACACAATATCCTCAGGACATATCTGATAAATAATACATGAAAAGGGTTTAGAACGCAAAGATAAAGACAAAAACACAATTAAAATGGAGTAAAGATGTAGCCAGGCAGTGATGGTGGCAGCACACTGGTCTAAAACTCAGGCAGGCGGATCTCTGTGAGTTTGAGGCCAGCCTAGTCTACAGAGCGAGTTCTAGGACAGCCAGGGCTACACTGAAAAACTGTCTTGAAACACAAACAAAAAAATGTAAACAAATAATGCAAAGTTATACCAATTATAAAAGGCATGTGAAATATGCTTAACATCATTAGAACAGAAATTCAAGAGCCAATGAGCTAGCTCAGTGGGTAAGAGAGCTTGCTACCAAGTGTAACAACCTGGACTCAATCTCCAGAACTTTCATAGTAGAACTGATTTTCAAGTTGTCCACTGACCTTCAGATGCACAATATGACACATATACACACAAATTTATGTAATAAAAATTTATAAGTTTACCAAGAGTCAAAAAAATTAAAACCATAGCTAAATTACACGGGACAGCCAACACACAGAGTTGAGTCTGTGCAGTGCAAAGATGGCACACACTTGAGTTGAGAACTCTCCAGCAGTTTCCTGCAATTACAGTTTTCTGGCAGCCACACCTGCCAGTTCCAAGCCTACTTATCCAAGAGAAATTAAAACATGGCTATAGAGACTTAGACACACATACTCAAAACATTTACTCATCAAACTGCAAGCAAGCTAAATTCCCATCAGTAAGTGAATGCATAGGGAATTATGGTACATATATATGTACAATGAAAACCTACACAGCAACAGAAAATTGCTGACACATAACAACATGGCCCAAATGCAAACTGCAATGAATTAAGTGATGTTTTTGTATGGTTCTAGGCATATGAACTTAAGAGAAAAATAAAGGCAACAGTAGCTGTCTAGGCTGGAGAAGTAGTTTGGGATGACCAGGAAAGGACATGAAGGGCTGGAGAGATGACTTAGCAGTCAGAGCTTGTACTGCTCTTGCAGAGGACCAGAGTTTGGTTCCCAGCAGTCATGCCAAGTGGCTAACAACCACCTTTAACTCCAGCTCCAAGGGGACCTGCACTCATGTACACATAATCTCTCTCTCCTCTCTCTCTCTCTCTCTCTCTCTCTCTCTCTCTCTCTCTCACACACACACACACACACACACACACACACGAATACACATAATTTTTTTTTTAAAGGAAAGAACATGAAGATTTTCAGTGATAAAACTGCCACTTAAATTTGTTGATAGTTATGTCTGGTCATTTGTATATTCTACTTTAAAATAATTTCAAATGCTTTCATACATTAGCAACAAATAAAAACTGAGATTTTAAAAATTCTAGTTGAGGCCGTGTGGTGGTGGTGCATGCTTTTAATCCCAGCACTCAGGAGGCAGAGGCAAGCAGATCTCTGTGAGTTCGAGACCAGTCTGGTCTACAAGTGCTGGTTCCAGGATAGGCTCCAAAGCTATAGAGAAACCCTGTCTCGTAAAACAAAAACAAAACAAAAAAATTCTAGTTGGGAGTTGGAAAGACAGCATTAGGATCTGAGCTCTGTCTCCAGAATTCCTGTTTTTAAAAAGTGGTGTGTGGTGGTTTGAATGAGTATATTCCCCCAAAGCACCTAGGTCTCAATACTTGGTCCCCAGGTGGTGGAACTGCTAGGAAGGATAAGGAGGTGTTTTTTGGAGAAGTTGTCCAAGGGTAGGCTTCAAAAGACTTGTACCATTCCCAGTGTGTGTCTGTGCCTCACCTTGCAGAGTAAGACACAAGTCCTCTGCTCCCTGCCTCCAGACCTTTACTCCACCATTATAGACTCTGACCCACTGAAACCACAGCCCAATTAAACACTTTTTTTACAGTTTGCTTTGGTTATAGTGTGATACCAAGAAACAGAGAAGCAACTAAGACACAGGCATGGAGGTGTACCTATGATACCAGTGCTGGAGAAGAGGACACATTCAAACCCCTGGCTCACTGACTAGTCAGCCTAGTCTGACTAGTGAGCTGCAAGTCAATGAAGAGATCCCCATCCCCCACACCAAGTTGTGCTGCACCTGAGGCTGACATTTGGCCTCTATGTGCATATTGCACAGAATCACATCTGATATAACATCAGAAAATTGAGAAATTTTAGTACAAGACCCACACACTGAAACCCTGAACATGAGTTACTTTCCTTTTGCCATTCCTTAACCACTGGATTTTTTGTTTGTTTACATTTTATTCATATTTTGCCCAATGGAATCAACAAGAATTGAAAGAAATGGTCTCAAATTCTGAGCACAAGTATATCTGGGTTTGAATCTTAGTTCTATTATTCTCTGTGATCTTGAGATCATTCCTGGGTTTCCTTCCATACTGATACCCACACAAAGGCTGAGGGGCATTAAACCACTGCATGCAAACTGCCTGGATGCTCTGGGAGATGGCTCGGGGTTAAATCACTTGCCATACAAGTGCAAGGACCTAAGTTCAGATACCTAGAGCCCACGTAAATGCCAAATGGGCATGGCTGTCCACCTGTGATTTCAGTCTTGAACAGCAGAGATACAGTAGCAAGTAAGACTAGCCATTTCAGTGAGTTCTAGGTTTGACAGAGACCTTGACTCAGTGAATAAGGTGGAAGAGTAACCGAGGATAATTCTAACACCGACCTCAGTTCTCCACATGTGCACACAGGAGAATACACACAACACAAACATACATGAAAACGGAAAAAGGAAAAACTAGCCTAGTACACGTCTCCAGGTCTGGAAGAGCCCATCTTCCTTTAGAAAATCCTCCCTAGACCCAGTTTTCACTACTGTCTTAGGTACATCTGTGCTAATTAATGGCCTAAGTCTTCAGAGCTACTCTCAACCCCTAGATAATTCCAGGTGGGTTTTTCAAGTTTTCTAAACTAGAAAAAGCTGTAACTATGGCAACATTAGGAAAAAATGTCTGATGACTGTTGGGCCCTTCAGTGTAAGCAACACTCAAAGTTAATTTACTTATACTGTGGATTAAACAAAGGGACTTTTCCACATTAGGCAAGACTTTTACTAAAAACCACTAAACACACGCAGCCCTTCAAAGACCAGGCTAGGATCTCATACATCATACACACACTCCAAATATGTATTTTTTACATATGTATGTGTGTATTTGCATGTTTACCATGCACGTAGGTGTACATTGTGTGTGTGTGTGTGTACCCAGGCTGACATCTAGTGTCTTCCTTAATCACTTTCCACCTTTGCCTTTTGAGGCTGGATCTCATCGTGTAGCCTTTGTTGGCTCTGAAGTCATCTGGAGTGCTGGGATCACAAGCATGAGCAACCACACCCGCAACTGTAGATGGGATAGTACACGTGAAGTGGGTATGTGGGTATGCACGTATATGCCAAGGCTAGAGAAGACTCCAAGCTACTAGTCTCTGCCTTATTGCCTTGAGACAAGCAAGGGCTCTCACTGAATCTGAAGCATAGTTTCACTTTGACTGACTGACCAGCAAACTCTTATCCCCCAACACTGGGGTCAGAGGCACACATGATCACGGCCCAATTTTTTTATGTAGGTACTGGGGATTTGACCTTATGTCCTAGCACTCGGGGCAGAGTCGGGCAGATCTCAGAGTGAGTTTCAGGACAGCCAGGTCTACACAAAGAAACCGTGTCTCAAAAGAAAAAAAAAAGTGGGTGGTGGTGGTTCCCCCAAAGAACAAGACTAGAGTCCTTTGGCTACCTGCAGTCACTCAAGAGTCTGAGACATCTCATGTCCCTACATCTAGGGTCAGATACTGACAAAAACTTTTCCAAAGACTCCACAACAGAGTACCATTGCCCCATTCTTCACTAGGCATGAACAGATCATTGTTGTGACCAAGAT